CAGCCTCCAAGGATATTCAAGGCTAGAGATCCACAGGTGTATTTTCAGAAACGGAATTTTCCTGGCAGGGTACAGTGGCTCATGCCTGTAATCCCAGCACTTTGAGAGGCCAAGGTGGGTGGATCACTTGAGGTCCAGAGTTCAAGACCAGCCTGGCCAACATGGTGAAACTCTGTTTTTACAAAAAATATATATATAAATTATTCGGGTGTGGTGGTAGTGGTGGGTGCCTGTAATCCCAGCTATTCAAGAGGTTGAGGCAGGAGAATCACTTCAACCTGGGAGGCAGAGGTTGCAGTGAGCCAAGATCACACTACTGCACTCCAGCCTGGGCGACAGAGTGAGACTGTCTCCAAACAAACATACACACACACACACACACACACACACACACACCCCAAAACAGGCTGGGGCAGGTGGATCACCTGAGGTCAGGAGTTCCAGACCAGCCTGGGCAACATGGTGAAACCCCATCTCTACTAAAAATACAAAAATTAACTGGGGTGGTGGCGCATGTCTATAATCCCAGACTAGGGAGGCTGAGGCAGGAGAATTGCTTGAACCCAGGAGGCAGAGGATGCAGTGGGCCAAGATTGTGCCATTACACTCCAGACCGAGCAATAAGAATGAAACTCCATCTCAAGGAAAAAAACAAAACAAAACAAAAAAAACCGAAACAAACAAACCCCTAAATTTCTCTGTAGACACCTTTACTCTGGCAGCCTTTTTCAATGATGGCTATGTTTTCTTCAATACTATACGGCCTGCAGACCACTCAGCTTTCATTCCAGTGAGAACATTCCAGAACGAATTCTCCAGTCAACTCAGAAGATGGTTGTGTGTCAACTGCTGACCAGCTAGAATGACACCTCTCCAGGCCTCTGACTTAACTAGGTCTTTACCATGTGACTCCACTGTGGACCCCCACCTTCTTCTTTTGCAAACGTCCAAACGCCTACCAAACGCCTACCAAAATGCCCAAACGCCTACTAAAAAGTGGGTGAAGTGCCAGGAGAGGGGTGCACCCCAACTCCACAAGGACCCTTCCAGACCTCACCCTGTGTTATTCTTCATCTGGCTGTTCATTTGTATCCTTTAATGTAGCCTTGGTAATAAATCAGTAATAGCAGATAAACTGTTTTCCTGGGTTCTGTGAGCTGCTCTAGCAAATGGTCGAACTTGAGGAGGGAGTTGTGGGAACCTCCAGTTTATAGCCAGTTGGTCAGATGCATAGGTGATGCCTGGCCTTGCAGCTGGGATCTGACGTGTGGGTGGTCCTGTGTGACTGAGCCCTCAACCTGTGGAGGTTGCTGCTCACTCTGCTTAGGGGTTCTCTGCCTTTGTAGTGTCCTGTCTAGAAGGCCTCTCCTTCCTCTTGTCAGCTCAGAAAACTTGTCTTCCACTTCCCTTCTTCTAAGCTAACCCTTACATCTACTCCTTTCCAGCTGACCCAGAGCAGAACCACGCCTGGCTCCACTGCCACTATGCCGTCCCATGCTGTCTCCTCAGGATGTATTCAGATGTCCGTTCCTCCCCCTAGTCTGGGAGCCCTTTGAGGAGAGGGATGCTGTCCTAGTCAACTCTTTCTCAGCACCAGGCGCAGCATCTGGCACATTCTATCTTTTTCAAGGACCCTTCCCAGGCGGCCTGACCTTCCCTCCTCTGAACCGCTGCATTTCTTGTCTGCATCGTGTTTGCCCTAATCAGACATCACCTTATTTCGCTATCTTTTTACATATGCTTTATTTATCTGGCAGGTTTCACTGGAATCGGAATTTTCATTCATTTGGTAGCTGTTGGCCTTGTGTCCACCTCTCTCTGGCACTCAGGTCTCACTTAAGAGCTGGCCCTCTGAGCCGTGGTTTGCCGTCAGTGAGATGGAGACAGGGGCAGTCCTAGGCAGTCATGTTTTGTTCCACCTGACCCTGGGCGCCCCTCCCCCTCCCAGGCAACAGGCAGAGATAGGTACCAGCCTGGGAGAGACAGCTCACCCACAGGCTGGCCAAGCAGAAACCCTGGGTTCAGCCAAAACTGCTCAATTGAGGACAAACTGGGCAACGTAGAATATTACTCTTGGGAGTTTTTAGAAATATGGTAGGGTAGCATTTGGGAATCATAACATTTGTAGCTGGGCATGGTGGTGCATGCCTGTAGCCCCCCAGCTACTCTGGAGGCTGAAGCAGGAGGATCTTTTGAGCCCAAGAGCTTGAGGCTACAGTGAGCTGTGAATGCACCACTGCACTCCAGCCTGGGTGACAAATCAAGATCCTGTCTCCAAAAAAAAATGTACACATTTGAGATACATAAAATATATTTTAAAATTAAGCATAAAAATTATATAAATATGCCAAAATAGGAACCTGGAGATGCTTGGAATCGACTTTGGGAGCCTAGCAGTGCAAGGATCTCTAGTCTTGGCTTCTTTTTTGAGATGGAGTCTTGCTCTATCACCCATGCTGGTGTGCAGTGGCGCGATCTCGGCTCACTGCAACGTCTGCCTCCTGGGTTCAAGCAGTTCTCCCTGCCTGAGCCTCCCGAGTAGCTGGGATTACAGGCACACATCACCACCCCAGCTAATTTTTGTATTTTTTAGTAGAGATGGGGTTTCGCCATGTTGGCCAGGCTGGTCTTGAATTCTGGACCTCAGGTGGTCCACCTACCTCAGCCTCCCAAAGTGCTGGGGTTACAGGTGTGAGCCACCATGCCCAGCCTAGTCTTGGCTTCTTGTCAGCTCCCTGCTTATGTCTAACACTCACCTCATTACAGAGCTGGTGTGGGAGTTTCTGTCCTGGTGACTTAACAGTGTAACTAAAGTGCTTAGCACTGTACCTGGAGCACAGCTGGTGCCCAATAAACAGCAGCTGTCATCAGCCTCACCATCGGTATGTTATTGTTACTGACTCTTTGATGGCAACCACAGCTCATCCCCCTCTATCTCCTATGCCCTACAGCAGGGCAGTGGAATGGTTAAGAGGCTTTGAAGTCTAACAGTCTTGGTGTAAAACGCTAACTTGTCGTTTTGGATGTGTGGCCTTGGACACTTGGGCAGGTCACCTATGTTCTTCGAGCCCTGTTTCCTTATCTGTCAGATGATGATTTAAAAAACTATGCTTCCATGGATTGCTGGGCTAAATGATATAAGACTGTAAAATGCCTAACCCAGGGTTTGGCATCAAGTAAGCAAATTGTAAATTTTAGTCCTGTGCTTTAAACTCAAATATTTGTTTGCTCACTGAAGTCATTACACAGAAAAACACTTTTCAGTCTCAGTAAGGAACCTGGGGAGGTGACTGGGGCAGGCAGCAAGAGAACAGGTGTCTTTTCCTTTTTTTTGAGACAGAGTCTCACTCTATCACCCAGGCTGGAGTGCCATGGTGCAATCTCAGCTCACTGCAACCTCCACCTCCTGGGTTCAAGTGATTCTCCTGCCTCAGCCTCCGAGTAGCTGGGACTATAGGTGCATGCCACCACGCCCAATTAATTTTTTGTATTTTTATTAGAGATGGAGTTTCACCATCTTAGCCAGGTTGGTCTCAACCTCCTGACCTCATGATCCACCCACCTCAGCCTCCCAAAGTGCTGGGATTACAGGCATGAGCCACCGCACCTGGCCCGAGAACAGGTGTCTTTTGTCCGGCTTCCGCAAACTCATTGGGACTGACGGGCGACTCGCTTTGCTTAGAACCCCCACCAGCACGCACGTGGGGCTGCTTCCCAGTCGTACTGCTCCTGGGACGGGCACTGCTGTTCTGCAGCTGGCGCCATTCTTTACCTCCTATTACCGAACTGCCAGCGTTCACTTGTGCTCTGTTAGGTAGATTACCAATTCTTGTTCATTCAGATTTTCTTTTGCTCACTGATGTGCTTAACGTTCACTAACTTACCAAATGTGGCTTATTAGTGACTTTTTCTTTGAAGACGGAGTGGAGGAATCCTTGCGCCTTCTGCAGTATTCTACTGCTGTTATGGAACAGTGCGGCTATGGATGTGCATCAGTGAGGGATGGGAGAGGCTGGGGGAGTACATGTGAATGGAGAGCTAGCCCCACCAGTGTGTCTTCTCAAATGCAGTCTTGGCGAGGGCAGTTTTGGGAAATTACTGCTCTCACACACTCTTCTTGACCCTACCCCTCCAGCATCTCTCTGCTATCCAAGGGTTGGGATTTTTAAAAAGAAAAACAATAACAACAACAAAACCAAAAAACAATGTGAATTTTCCACCATCTTATAAGGGTGAAAAGCCCCCTCCCACATCCAGATGAACATTCGTGCATGGGTTTGAGGGCCTGGGAAAAAGACAGGGCTTGGCCCCCACAGTGCAGGTAGGCCCAGGAATCCTATGAGAGGGGCCAGGAGGTGGAGGAGGTCCCCTGTGGGCAGGAGGTCAAGTGTGTTGTGTTGTATGACTGGTGCTTGATGAACCAGGGGCGAGGGCACCAAGAACAACGGTATGTAATTGTCAAACCTCCACCCCTGAGGGTGTGTTTTCAGGTCTGGGTGACTAATTAGACTGGGAAACAAGGGAGGGCAAGATGGCCCTGTGCTTCCCCTGCCCGCTGCCTCTGGTGGCTGTGCTTCCCCTGCCCGCTGCCTCTGGTGGCTGTGCTTCCCCTGCCCGCTGCCTCTGGTGGATGCATGGGCTGCTGGCTTCAGAACTGTTTTTCTTTCTGATGGCCCCTGTTATTTCTGCATAAATATTTAACTACATATTCAAATGTCTTACCGCATTGCTAGAATTAACTATATATTGTAAGAAACACAAGTATTTTTCAGAAGGCCTGAGGTGGGCTGCGGTCACTCTGTGTTCTCTTCCAGCAGCAGGGCCTCACTCTCCTCCCCTTCAGCAGTGGACTCTCCGGTTGTCTTCTCTGTTGTAGCTTCTGCTGGGGCTTCGCTGTCCCTGGGATATGAATAACGATGGCAAGGTTTTAATTCTTGAAAGGAGCAATTAAGCTCCTCACTCCCTCCTCACTTTAGACGGGAACTGTGAGGGCCCATCATTTACCCAGTGTCCCTGTTGAAGATCTCGTCCTCATTGGAAGACTCCTTGTCATGCAGCTTCCGTGTCATGTTTTTCATGCGTGTGGCACTGAGAGGTCTGTACATATCCCTAAGCCAGAGTGGCCATCTTAAGAAAAAGCCACCCTAGAAGATAGAAAGGGAAATATTAATTTTGCATGTCTTCTGCTTTCTCTGGCCACAGCAATGAATCCTGCTTCAACGTACTTGAGTCGCACTTTTTGATGAGTGTGTCCTGTGTGGCAGATATCTGGAAATGCCCCTGGGGAGACACAGGCACAAGACAGTGAGTGGTGCTGCCGTTTCCCACGTCTCTCACACTGTACTTCTCTGGTCTTAATTAGGACTAAATGAGTACCTCAGTCCAAAATCACAGTGAGAAGAACCACTGCAAACCACATACCTGGGGTCTTGAAAATAATTCCATGCAGGTGGGGCTTTCAGAAGCTCTCCCTGTCTGTCTAGAAGGGCCCCACAATACAGCTGGAGGGACTTTGCGTGTGGCTCAGCATGGAGCACGGGGAGGATGTTCAGTCGCACTCACCCCCTTGGCCAAGTGCCCTTGTGCAGTGAACAAATGGCACAACCATGCTAGGTAGACACATTTTACATCAGTCCCCTTCAGACTTAGTCTCACGGGCATCATTTGTTGGGGGGTGGAGGATGATGTGGGTTTTTTTTTTTCCTAGATGCTTTATTTGCTTTATTCTATGCCTGAGTGCAACTAGCCAAGTTGTCTATCTCACAGATTTTCATGCAGCAGGCTGTTGCTGGTGAGTGAGTGAGCTGTGACATCAGCTTAAAGGAAAACATATTCTTTTGAATGTGAATAAAACAGAAAAAGCCAGAGTGCATTGTGTGACCATGGGGCAAGACACTGTCCCTTTCTCTTTCTCAGGTTTCTTATCATAAAGGACAAACTACTGTCTAAAGTCTCTCCTATTTCTTTCTTTCTTTTCTTTCTTTCTTTTTTTTTTTTTTTGAGATCAGTTTTGCTCTTTTTGCCTAGGCTGGAGTACAAATGGGGTGACCTTGGCTCACTGCAACCTCCACCTTCTGGGTTCAAGTGACTCTCCTGCCTCAGCCTCCCAGGTAGCTGGGATTATAGGTGTCTGACACCATGCCTGGCTACTTTTGTATTTTTATTAGAGACAGGGTTTCATCATATGGTGAGGTTAGTCTCTAACTCCCGACCTTAATTGATCCACCTGCCTCAGTCTCCCAAAGTGCTGGGATTACAGGTGTGAGCCACCTGGCTTGGCCTTCCTAGTTAAAATTCTGTGAGGTTTGTATAAAAGGAATAGAGTGGGAGCCCAAAAACCAGTAAGATGAAAAAGTAGTGTTTCCTCAGTTCTCGGATCCAGGGAAAAAAGAAAGGGAAAAAAAAAGAGAGAAAGTAGTGTTTCCTGCCACTTTAGAGGAAGGACTCACATATTCTTCCTTCCATCAGCCTTGAAGGAGACTAGCGCCCTCACTCCAACACCAGGTGGCCTTCCCTACCCCTTCCCCAGAGCCTCCAAGAAGGCCCCTAGCCTGCCACCACCAGCAGGAACAGACACCAAAACCTTTCCCCTTCCTGTCCCTTCCCACCTCCCCAAAGGGCTGGGGACATCAGATGTGTCCTTGTTAGTTCCACCCAGCTCAGCTTTGGCTGGGGAGCTAATTTCAGGGGAGCCAGGCTAAGCATTAGGGCAAGTAAGTATTCTTCCTGTCTTGGGTAGTTTCCTCCCTCAAAAATGAGGACAGAGTTCTAAGCTTTCCTCTGTTTCTTAAATTATAATTTAAAAATTGCTGGACTGGCTGGGTGCAGTGGCTCACACCTGTAATCCGAGCACTTTGAGAGGCTGAGGCGGGTAGATCACAAGGTCAGGAGTCCGAGACCAGCCTGGCCAACATGGTGAAACCTTGTCTCTACTAAAGATACAAAAAATTAGCTGGGCATGGTGGTACGTGCCTGTAATCCCAGCTACTTGGGAGGCTGAGGCAGGAGAATCACTTGAACCTGGAAGGTGGAGGTTGCAGTGAGCTGAGATTGTGCCCTTGCACTCCAGACTGGGTGACAAGGCGAGACTCTGAATTTAAAAACAAAAAAACAAAAAACACTAGACTAATATTTACCTTGGGAATGCTTCTTCACCTTCCTTGGGTGCCCTTCTATGACAATACATCTGTTTTGGAAGAAAACACAATTAAGATTACCCATCACAACAACCACTATCTCCAAATCTGTATTTATTCCTGTTATTCATTAGAAGTCTCATCCACCCGAGGACAGAACTTTTTGGAGACGGGAATTGTATGCTGTTTTACAGTGCTTTGATTCTTCCACAGTACACTCATCCTTGATATCTTGCAGGGGATTGGTTCTAGAATACTGCCCCCACACCATACCAGAATCTGTGGATGCTCAATCCCTCATATATAATGGTGCAGCATTTGCATATAACCAACACACATCCCCCATATACTGTATTTATTTAGAGACAGGATCACCCTCTGTTGCTCAGGCTGGAGTGCAGTGGCACAATCACAGCTCACTGCAGCCTCAGGCTCCTGGGCTCCAGTGATCTGCCTAAGTCAGTCTCTTCAGTAGCTGGGACTACAGGCGCACACCACCATACCTGCCTATTTTTTATTTTTAGTAAAGACCTCATCTCACTATGCTGCCCAGGCTGGTCAAGCAATCCTCCCACCTTGGCTTCCCAAAGTGTTGGGATTACAAGTGTGAACCATCATGCCTGGCCCCATGTACTTTAAGTCCTCACTAATAAAATGTGTAGATATTGTACAAGGGTGACAGTTGTTATGCTGTACTTTCTATTTGTATTTTTATGGTGTTTTTTTCAAACATTTAGCCTTATCTAGTTGAATATGAAGATGTGGACCTGCTGATGCAGAGGGCTGACTGTATCTAATTTAGGGTCTTGCATACAGCTGGCACTTAATATATTTTATTGACTATGTTAGATAAAATTCAACAGATAATTCCTAATAAAAACTCTTAAAAGTAGGGAAAAAAGGAAACCTGAGTCCTTCCTCTAAAATGGCAGGAAAACCAGCCTGGGCAATATAGCAAGACCTTGTCTCTACAAAAAAATTTAAAAAATTAGCTGCTGGCCTGTAGTCCCAGCCACTCAGGAAGCTGAGGCAGGAGGATCCCTTAAGCCCCAACTGTGAGGTTACAGTGACTGCTCTCCAGCCTGGGTAAAAACAGGCTCTGAAAAGGAAGGAAGGAAGGGAGGGAGGGAGGGAGGGAGAGAGGGAGAGGGAAGGAAGGAAGGAAGGAAGGAAGAGAGGGAGGGAGGGAGGGAGAGAGGGAAGGGAGGGAGGGAGGAGGGAGAGAAGGGAGGGAGGGAGGGAGGGAGAGAAGGGAGGGAAGGAAGGAAGGAAGGAAGGGAGGGAGGGAGGGGGAGAGAAGGAAGGAAGAAGGGAAGGAAGGAAGGGAGAGAGGGAGGAAGGAAGGGAAGGGAGGGGGGTAAGAAAGTAGAGTATAACTATTGGAAAGGAAGAGAAAAAACTATCTTTATTTGCATATGAAATGGTAAATATTAGACAGCCAAAGAAGCCTAAGAGAATCAACCAACGTTTTACTGGAAGTAACGTAAGAATTCAGTACGGTGGCTATATACAAAATCAAGAGATCAGCATACAAAAAAAAATTTTTTTAAAGATGGCTACCTCAAATACTTTTCCCATGTACTACCAATAACTAATTAGAAAATGGAAAAAAGATCCCATTTACAATGGCAATAAAAATGTATGAAATATTTAGAAAAAAAATACAAAGATCTTTTATCTAACAAAAGATGTGAAAGATCTATACAATGGAAACAGACTCTTCTGAAAGACATGCAAAAAAATGAACACATGACAAAAGGTATCACATTCCTAGAATGCTGTACAGATGTTAATTCTCAAATTAATCTGCAAATTTAATGTGATCCTATTCAAATCCCAAGACAGTTTTTGATGGTGGCTATTTTTGAGGCACGGTCTTGCTCTATTGCCCAGGCAAGAATGCAGTGGTATGAGCACAGCTCACTGCATCCTCGACCTCCCAGGCTCAAGCAACCCTCATACTTCAGCCTCCAAAGTCTCCCATATAGTGTCCAAGAAATGGTGACAAATCTCACAAAGGGAGTAGGCTCAGAAGGGCTGGAGTATTCAGGGAAGGTGTCAAGAAGAAAGACGAACTTGAGATGGCTTTGAGAGATTCATAGGACTCCCTCAGGCAGAGTGAAATAAGGGCATTTTAGATGGACAAAGGCACAGACAAAAGCAGAAACGGGCATCGTGTGACCAGGGTATGGTGAGGGCTGCTCTGGCTGGAATGGAGGGCTGCCACAATAATGGAAATGGTGAGTGAGGGGAATAAGGTTGGATTGGCAGCATACCGTCAAGGTTGCCAGCTTATTAACTCACTCTTCCAATATGCTAGCACTGGCCTGTTGGGAAAAGTAATACATCATGTAATGGAACAAAAGGCAAACAGAGGCAAGCTCTGGGAATGGGTGCTATAAACAGGACTCGCCCCAGAGTAGCCAGATGTAGGCTTTAGATATGTAATGCAGATTGAGCATCCCTAATCCAAGGAGGAATGTCTCATACGGTGTCTGAGAAATGGTGACACATCTCACAGAGGGCCTGGGCTCAGGAGGGCTGGAGTATGCGACATTCCCCCTCCCCTGTGAACTTAAATAAGTGGCCAACTACTTTTTTTAAAAGATGGCTACCCTGTAGTGCTCTAACTGGACCATTTAGACAACACCCTACACGCTGGAGAAGGAAGACGCTATGTGAGTCTAGCAAGTCTACAAGACGAGACTTCTCTCTTCTGCCTCGTCCTTCCTCTCCATGGTGATGACAGCTCTGTGAGGGTGGAGATTATACTTTTCTCTTCATTTCAACAACAAGGAAATAAATTAGTGGCAGAGTACATTCAATTGTTGACATAGTTTTGGGTGGGAGAAATTTTGCTATTATATCAACTTAATTTCTTAAAATAGTCTAGTGGGATTAACTTAATTTCAATTGACAGAAATTTCCTGGAAGTGACGATCCTTTAAAAATCCTGGAATATACATTATAGTAAAAGAACAAAGCATACCTCGGCCTTAAACAACTGAAGAAGAATGTCAAGTAGTAGTAGGTGGGAAAGTGGCTTTGATTTTCAGTTTGTGGGCTCTGAATTTACACAAAGACAGGATTGCATTCTGAAAACCTGAATTAATTATTGTCCTTACCGTGATGACACAGAAAATTAGGATGAACATTGTCACAGTTACAGACACAGATATTGCCAAGATGAGTTTGCTGTAGCCATATCCTGGAACAACTTTAGTGAGCTTAAAAAAAAAAAAAAAGGAAAGAACAATTTTTTAAAAAAAAACAAAGAGATAGAATGAAAGCTAACTATTAAAAACCCCAGTACTCCAAGTGAGTAGCTTATAGGTTCTTTTTTATTTTTTTGAGACGGGATCCCATTCTGTTGCTCAGGCTGGAGTACAGTGGTACAATCATGGTTCCCTGTATACTTGACCTCCCTGGGCTCAGGTGATCCTCCCACCTTAGCTAGCCTCCTGAGTAGCTGGGACTACAGGCATGTGTCACACACCTAGCTAATTTTTGTGTTTTTTGTGGAGACAGGGTTTCACTATGTTGCCAAGCTGGTCTCAAACTCCTGACCTCAAGTGATCCACCCACCTTAACCTCCCAAAGTGCTGGGATTACAGGCATGAGCCACCTGGCCAAAGTTACACGGTCAAGACAAGCTATGGCCACGAGTCCCAGGTTCTCTTGTGTTGGCACTTTCCTGACACATGCTAAATGATGGGAAAGTCTGGGTCTCACCTTTCTGTGTGGTCCTCACCTCACTTGACTTCTGCTCTTTCTGTTCACTCTGGGCTTCCATGCTCTCGTTGATATAGTTCTCAGTTTTCCACTGGTCCGTATCCCATTCTGCCTTGGACACCTTTTCTTCTTGCTGTTCACTGAGAAGTTTCATCAGCAGGCCTGTCCCAGAGATGAGCTTAGCACAGGCTAATTGCACTTGGGTCTCAGAGCAGTCCATCTTCAAGGTCCGGATAACATGAGATATGAGCCTTCTCACATTGTTGTCAGGGATGAGGGACTGTAGCTGCCGGTTTAGCTGAATTTCAAACTGATCACCTAGGGGACGAAAGCAATGGGTAATTGAAGTTTTTGGGTTTGGGGAACAGGTCAGTGCCCAGGTCATTGTATTCCCATTGTACTCCATTGGTTTGTTTAACAGTTGGCTCTAAATTGAACGCAGTCCCATCGGAATCTGCCTCAGGAGGATTATTGTAGGTTGTGCTTTCAGAGATGGTGCCTTCTGGCATAGCAGTGTTTCCCATAAAAATGTTTTCTTCAAAGGCATTTCCTGCAGTCGTGGTTTCCATAAAATCTTCTGAAGGAGCAAATACCTCCAGAAAAGAATTTTTTTGAATACTGTCTCCTGAAGATAAAAAAGCCCCTTCTGAAGGGGAATTTATGAGGCTCTTTGCTGCAGAGAACGGAGGCTTCTTCGCCAGCATCAGTCTGTTGAGAGAACTTTTCTTTCTGAACTTTCGACTCTTTTTGGCCTTGGGTGTTCTGTGGACCACACGGGAGCGAGTTTTATGAAAGTGGTATTTTTTTCTGGAATTTATGGTTGGTTTAGCAGCCTTCATATTTTTAACTCTAGCCTTTGCATTTTCTAAAATGAAAATGGCATAGGTTAAGTCTTTTTGTATATTTCTTATTTCACGTTGGGCTTTTGCAGAGGTGGAGGCGGAAGGCCCACCCATGGAGAAGGGTTTCAGCAAAGAGGAGACCGCTGTCTTATGCTCTTGGGTGAACAAAGGCTTGGTGTAGATGGTGTTTCCTACTAACTTCTCGGGCCTCTGCACCACGTGAGGCTGTTCCAGCTCCCTTGGGCCCATGAGGACTCTGTTTGCTCTCTGCAGGCTTTTTCCTATACTTTGAATCTTTGCCAGGCCATTTTCCGGTGGTTGGGCAGTTTCTAATTTTGTCCGAAAAATTTGCCGTTTAAATTTGGGACCTAAAACACTGGACTGTACAAGCATGGCAGTTTTTTCTTCCCTTTTAACCTCGTCGATTTTTTCTTGAATTTCTGCATCTAACATATTTTCCAGAGAATACAGCTTTCTCAATTTATTTTTGTAAGTTGAGTTGTTGGATGCAGGTTGAAGAGAGGGGCTCTTTGCATTATTTTTCAGAATACCCAGGGGCCTGTCACCATCTTGTGAATCTGAAAAAAGCAGTTTAATGAATGGTAACAATGTTGCCTCCACATCTTCTAGATTTCCCGCCGAGAAATAAGGCAAGATATAATTAAGTGCACTGATAACATCACTTTCATCATTGATGTCTAGTTGCTCACTCACAAAGCCTGACAAGTTGATGCCATTGCTGTCTGAGGGCATCTCCGGCTCAATAGTAAGCTCAGTGCTCGTGTGCTTCTTCCGGGCTTGTAACACCTTCATGAACTCTCCTTTGGGATTCCCTATAGATGCTTCTTCAAGACAATGTGTGGTGTTTGTCAGACATGCACTGTTGCAATGCAGCTTGACTGTCTTGCAGACAACCTCAATGCTATTTTTAAATTGGCAGAGGCAGCAGGCCATATGGCTAGGTAAGATCCTATAGATAAAAACACAGAACAATAAATTAATGATGAAGGGGTTTCTCGAGTAGGTAAAGGAGGCAGACCAACACTACCACAGGGCTGGGCAAAAAGGTGTTATTGAGGCCTATGGACTAGACAGTTGGGTAGGAACCAGAAGGCCACACAGGAAGGAGGACAGAGGTGCCCAACAGAAGGGTAAGCATGGCAGGGAGTATGGTATGCCTAGAATAAACGTGATTGGGATTAGAATTGGGTGACACTGATCAGTAGTTTAATTCAGAAGTATCTCTTCCCAACTCAAAAGTCTCACTTTGGGCTGAAAATAGGCAGGAAGAAGGTAGACTTCTAAGAAGAGTCTGAATAAGCCCCCAAATTCTGTAGTCCCTTTCTCAATTCCTGTTGGGAGTGGGAAATATTAGACATTCTCTGGGCCTTAAAAACAGCTTAGTTTAACATGTATTGTGGGGTAAAAAATAACAGAGATTTCATTGGCCAAATCTGGATGGACATTTGAGCATTCAAAAGAATAACAATAATAATAAGTTATAACATAATTAATATAAATAAGAATCCATGAAGAATGATATTCAAAAAGAAAGAGTGGGTGTTCTTCTTTAATGAAATGATGCCAGCTAGTAAATGCAGAAGGAATGACAAAATTTTTAAAAGTATCACTTTGCACCACCAATGTAATAAAAATTGATTCAGACAAGGATTATTATTGATACACAGTTGGGTAAAAAGACACTTGAGAAAAGGTTCTTCACTGATTTCAAAGTACCACCCCACAGATTATTTATTAATTACCAAGGGCAAAATTCTTTTTTATTTTTATTTTTTATGAGACAAGGTTTCACTCTGTCACTCAGGCTGAAATACAGTGGCAAAATCATAGCTTATTGCAGCCTCGACTGGGTTCAAGTGATCCTCCAAATTCAGTACCCCAAATAGCTGGGACTATAGGCTTGCACCACCATACCCAGGAATTTTCTTTTGTTTTTTGTATTTTTAGTAGAGACAGGGTTTTACCTTGTTGCTCAGGCTGGTCTAGAACTCCTGGACTCAAGTGATCTGCCCACATCAGCCTTCCAAAGTTCTGGGATTACAAGCGTTAGCCACTGCACCCAGCAAAATAACAACAATGGAGAGATCTGGAAGATCACCTTAATCAAGTGATCAAACTTAGCATTATGGGCCACCTGTGGTCACGAGGCAGGAAGGATGTATCACCTATGCCAGGCGTCCCCAAACTTTTTACACAGGGGGCCAGTTCACTGTCCCTCAGACTGTTGGAGGGCCGCCACATACTGTGCTCCTCTCACTGACCACCACTGAAAGAGGTGCCCCTTCCTGAAGAGCAGCGGGGGACCGGATAAATGGCCTCAGGGGGCCGCATGCGGCCCGCGGGGCCGTAGTTTGGGGACACCTGACCTATGCAGTATTCTTCCTTAAAATGCTTAACTTGAAGCCGGGCGCGGTGGCTCAAGCCTGTAATCCCAGCACTTTGGGAGGCCGAGGCGGGTGGATCACGAGGTCGAGAGGTCGAGACCATCCTGGTCAACATGGTGAAACCCCGTCTCTACTAAACATGCAAAAAATTAGCTGGGCATGGTGGCACGTGCCTGTAATCCCAGCTACTCAGGAGGCTGAGGCAGGAGAATTGCCTGAGCCCAGGAGGCGGAGGTTGCAGTGAGCCGAGATCGCGCCATTGCACTCCAGCCTGGGTAACAAGGGCGAAACTCCGTCTCAAAAAAAAAAAAAAAAAAAAAAAAAAATGCTTAACTTGAATCTCATCATGAGGAAACAGATAAATCCAGATTGTGGGACAATTTACAAGACAGCTATCTTTGACTCTTAAAAAATGCCAATATCATGAAAGATAACAAAAAGTAGCAGAATGTTTTAGATGAAAGGAAATGAAGACATGACATGCAGTGCCTGACCTTTGATTGGATTCTGTACTAGTCTTTCATCTTTATGGTATGTTTGAGTTTTTTTCAAAATATAAATTTGGGCAAAAGAGATGCCAAGATAATTGATTATTGTTATGGCTTATTGGCGGCAGTTTTAGAGAGAGAAAAACAACCTCTGTTATCTAGAGTAAATCTCAAGGTTAATCTTAAGCAGTATAGCATGGTCATTAAGAATACAGATTCCACCGCCAGACTAGGCTTAAATCCCAGCTCCACTCATGTGAATTTGGGCAAACTGCTTAATCTCTGTTCCTTGGCCTTGTCATTACAATAGTACCTACCTCTAATGAGTTTTGAGGATTCAATGAATCAATACCTGAAAAATGCCTGGCACACAGTGGGTGCTCAATAAATGTTAACTACTATAATTATTATGTTGCAGAGGCTGTGGTGGCCTTTTCTGGGTCCTTCAAAAGGATGACTTTATCAGGACCTCATTAAAACTGTGAAAACAGAAGAGTGTTTCATGGATATATGAAGTCTATGAGTTGGGAGTACAATGAATAGAGGTGTTTTTTTGTTTTTGTTTTTGTTTTTACTATCTCCAGTAATGGGCATAAGCAAACGTATAGAGTTTTATATTAAAACTGCATCCAGTAAGTTGGCCTGACACAGCTTTCAAACCTATAGAGAAATAACCACTAGTGACTAGTAGTGTTCCTTTGGGTCCAGTGGAAGCCTTTGATCTTCATACAGAAAGAATGGACCCAGAACCACAACCTAGCATTTTACTTATATAGCAACCTTAACTCTAACACAAGGGTGTTTCTTTGTTTGTTTTGAGGCAGGGTTTTGCTGTTACACAGGCTGAGTGCAGTGGTGCAATCTCAGCTCACTGCAGCCTCTGCCTCCTGGGCTCAAGTGATCGTCCCACCTGAGCCTCCTGACTAGCTAGAAGAATTACAGGTGTGTGCCATCATGACCGGCTAATTTTTGTATTTCTTGTAGAGATGGGGTTTCACCATGTTGCCCAGACTGGTCTTGAACTCCTAAGCTCAAGCAACCCTCTCTCCTTGGCCTCCCAAAGTGCTGGGATTACAGGCATGAACCCAAAGTTTCTGTTATTATTTTTGTGCTTTCAACTTCTTATTTTAAACATTTTCCTTTTTTCCTTTAAGCCTTAGGATGGCTGGGAAACATTTTCAAATGGTATAATGAACACCTGTATAACTTCCATCTGGAATCAACAGTTGCTTTTTTTATAATTCCCCACCTAACCCCAACAGTTGCTAATACTTTGCCACATTTGCTTTCCATGTATGTCTGTCTACACATTTTTCTGGACAAATCATCTGAGAGTTAGTTGCAGATATAATGAGCCTTCACCACTAAATAATTCAGTGTGCAGCCCCTAAGAACCAAGGCATTCTCCTCCATAACCAGAATACTACTATCACCCAGTGAAACTTAATATTTCTTAATATACCTGCTATGTAGTCCATATACAAATTTTCACAACTGTCTCAATCATATCATGGCTTTAAAAAATTCAGAATCCAATTAAACATCAGACATTGCATTTAGTTTTCATGATTCTTTAGTCTCCTTAACTGTTCCCAGAACTGTTTTAAAGTATACTGACAAATCTTTGAGACTGTAAATGACCTGAGGTATAGATTATCCTTACTTGAGCATAGCAATTTTCCAATATGCATTAAAGATCATTACACATGAGCCAAGACTCAAATGAGCTGGCCTACTTTCTTTGTATATAAATGTGTAAACTCCTGACGACTTCAAATAATGAACTCCAATAGGGCAGTTAGTTCAATGTCTTTTGGGTCTTGATGACAAATGGTTACAGAGAATAGGAGCATTTTTTCTATCCACTAATGGTAAAGAAAAAAGCAGACAGAGCCTCACTATGTTAGAGAACTAAGTGAGAAAGCTGGTTGATGAAGAGGACTTCATCCAGAGAGGAAGAGATCTAGCTGACATGGAATATGCTGCAGGAGGCTGAGGAAAACGAGGCTAGATCAACAAAACAGAATTGACAACGTGGTGAAGATAAGAAAGTGACCTGACAAAAATGAATGCGGCAGAGTGCTAAATGAAGGGCCCATTCTGTGCTAATCTTGTATAATGCCCTCAACTAGCCTTAGCATATCTGAGTTTCTATTTAGCTTGCCATATTGTGTGTTAGGGGGCGGTTGGCACAATGTAAGTTGCAGTAAGTTGTGTAACAAACTCACAATAGGGCCCTGCAGATATATATAGGGTCTTGCTCTGTCATCCAGGCTGGAGTGGTGCCATCTTGGCTCACTGCAACCTCCACCTTCTGGGTTCAAATGATCCTTCTGCCTCAGCCTTCCTAGTAGCTGGGACTTACAGGTGTATGCCACCACACCTAGCTGATATGTGTGTGTGTGTGTGTGTGTGTGTGTGTGTGTGTGTATGTATATGTATATGTATATATGTATATATAATTTTAACTGCAAAGAAGGCCAGGCACAGTGCCTCATGCCTGCAATCCCAGCATTCTAGGAGGGAGAGGCAGGAGAATCACTTGAGGCCAGGAGTTTGAGACCAGCTTGGGTAACATAGTGAGACCTCATTTCTACTAAAATAAAAAAATGAAATTGAAAAAAAAATAGATACCTCACACCATATATGCAAATTAACTCAAAATGGATCATAGACCTAAATGTAACTATACAATTTCTGGGAGAAGACATAAAAGAAAGTCTTTTTGATTTTGAATTAGACAACAGGTTCTTAAAGATTTCTTAAGAAAGAAAAAAGCACAAGCCATATAAGAAAAAATTGCTAACTTAAAGCTTATAAAAATTAAAAACTTCTGCTCTTCAGAAAACACTTTTATTTTTTATTTTGAGACAGAGTCTCACTCTGTTGCCCAGGCTGGAATGCAGTGGTGCAATCTCGGCTCACTGCAACCTCCACCTCCCAGGTTCAAGCATTTCTCGTGCCTCAGTCTCCTGAGTAGCTGGGATTACAGGTGCCAGCCACCACTAATTTGCGTATTTTTAGTAGAGATGGGACTTTGCCACGTTGGCCAGGCTGGTCTCGAACTCCTGACCTCAGGTAATCCCCCCGCCTTGGCCTCCCAAAGTGCTGGGATTACAGGCGTGAGTCACTGTGCCCAGCCAGAAAACGCTTTTAATGGAATGAAAAGACAAACCACAATCTGAGAGAAGATATTTACTAAACACATATCTAAAAGGCCTTTAAAAAATTTATTTACTTATTTAATTGTTGATACAGCATCTCACTCTGTGATCCAGGCTGGTGTGCAGTGGTGATCATGGCTCACTGCAGCCTCGACCTCCCAGGTTCAAGCAATCCCAAAGTGCTGGGACCACAGGTATGCACCACCATACCTGGATTGTTTTTAAATTTTTGGTAGAGATGAGATTTCACCATATTGCTCAGGTGGTCTCAAACACCTGGTCTCAAGCAATCCTCCTGCCTCAGCCTCCCAGTGTGCTGGGATTATAGGTGTGAGCCACTGCACCTGGTCCCTGAAAGGACTTGTATCTAGAGTCTATAAAGCACTGTTAAAACTCAATAATAATAATTTCTCATGGGATTACAGGGAAAAAACCTCATTAATAAAAAGATTAACATTTAATTAAAATATGGAAATAGATTTGAACAATTTAGTAAAGAAGATATTTGCACATAAACAGACATTCAACATCACTAGCTATTAAAGAAATGCAAATTAAAACCACAATGAGATTCCACTACACATCTAGCAGTAGAAAGGCAAACATTTCTTTAAAAACTGAAATATAAGAATCTGCTGGGCCAGGCCAGGCGTGGTGGCTCATGCATGTAATCCCAGCACTTTGGGAGGACAAGGTGGTGGATCATGTGAGGCCAGGAGTTTGAGACCAGCCTGGCCAACAAACTGAAACCTTGTCTCCACTAAAAGTACAAGTATTAGCTGGGCGTGGTGGTGGGCGCCTGTAATCCCAGTTACTCAGGAGGCTGAGGGAGGAGAATTCTTTGAACCTGGGAGGCGGATGTTGCAGTGAGCTGAGATCATGCAGCTGCACTCTTGTGTTGGCAATTAAAAAATTAGGAAAAAAAAAAAAAAAAGAATCTGCTGGGCTGGGCATGGTGGCTCACACCTCCCAGCACTTTGGGAGGCCAAGGCAGGTGTATCACTTGAAGTCAGAAGTTCAAGACCAGCCTGGCCAATATGGTGAAACCACATCTCTACTAAAAAAATACAAAAATTAGCTGGGTGTGGTGGCGGGTGCCTACAGCCACTTGGGGGGTTGAGGCAGGAGAATTGTTTGAACTCAGGGGATGGAGGTTGCAGTCAACTGAGATAGTGCCACTGCACTCTAGCCTGGGGATAGGGCAAGACTGTGTTGAAGAAAAAAAAAAAAGAATCTGCTAAAGTTATGGAACAATTGCAACACTCACACAACGCTGGTGGAAATGTAAAATGGCACAGACACTTTAGGAAACAGTTTAGCAGTTTCTTACAAAGTTAAATATGCACTTAGCATGTGAACAGTCCAACTCCTAGGTATTTACCCAAAAGAAATGAAAACATAGGTTCACACACAAAGAGCTGTATATGAGTGTTTTTAGCAGTTTTATTCATAATTGCCAAAAAATTGAAAACAACCCAAATGTCCATACATTGATGAATGGATAAACAAATGGATACATTCACACAACTGGAATACTACTGAGCAATGAAAAGGAGTGAACAGTTGTCCCTCGGTGTCTGCAGGGGATTGGCTCCAGGACCTCCTGCAGATAGATACCAAAGTCCACAGAGGCTGAAGTTTTTTACCAGAAATAACATAGTATTTGTATATAGCCTTGGGTGTACTTTAAATATCTAATACAGTATAAATGGTATGTAAATAATTATAGCGTGTTTTAAATTTTCTACTGCTTTTATTATTTCATATATTTTACTTTTTCCAAATACTCTCCATCCATGGTTAGTTGAATCCATAGATGAGGAACCTGCAGATATGGAGGGCCAGCTGTACTGATAGGTGCAACAACATGGACGGTAGCATAATCTCAAAAAAAATTATGCTAAGTGAGGCCAGGCATGGTGCCTCATGCCTGTAATCCCAGCAGTTTGGAAGGCCAAGGTGGGTGGATCACTTGAGGTCAGGAGTTCGAAACCAGCCTGGCCAACATGGTGAAACCTTGTCTCTACTAAAAATACGAAAAATTAGCCAGGCATGGTGGCAGGTGCCTGTAATCTCAGCCAGCTGCTTGAGAGGCTGAGGCAGGAGAATTGCTTGAACCTGGGAGGTGGAGGTTGCAGTGAGCTGAGGTCATGTAACTGTACTGCAGCCTGGGTGACAGAGTGAAACTCTGTCTCAAAAAAAAATTATGCTAAGTAAAAGAAGCCAGATACAAGAGGCTATATGCTATATGATTTCATTTATAAGACATTCTGGAAAAGGCAAAACTATAGGAACAGAAATCAGATTAGTAGCTAACAGGGGCTGATGGCGGGAGGAGGGTACTGACTGACTGCAAAGGGACATGAAGGACCTTTTTGAGGTGACAGAAATGCTTTATATTGGGAATGTGGTAGTGGTTATGTCAACATACATTTGTCAAAACTCATCAAACTGTACACTTAAAAAGGGTGAATTCTGTTATATGAAAATTATATCTCAATAAACCTGACTTAAGAAAATACTAAAACAAACCTAAAGAACCAATTAAGTGAAAATAAATCTAAGAAAAAAATAACTTACAGTTTTTCCAATTCAAGAGTCATCATGAGGATGTTCTTAACTGTTGTAAGTGGGACTTGTGTTGTTCCCATGTCTCTGAAGAGGAAAACCGAAACATTTGTGATATAAACGCCAACACAAAAATTCTGTACTTAAAAAAGATATTTCAAGGACATGTGATTACTTCAATTTTGGCTTTTCTATAAAATAAGTCAGCTCAAGAGTTTATCTGCTGCAGAATTCCAGAGAGCTCTTATTAAAGAAATTTAAGTTGATTTGCATCATCAAACTAATGATATTCAAGATAGAACTTGTCCTTTTTTTTTTTAACCATTATCTTACTTCTCATTTTCATACTGGATTCACTCATGTTGATTATTTACTCTTTTCTTCCTTTTTAGAATAATGAACACTATTCCTCCTTCCTTTCTTAGTTAAGTAATATTCCTCCATGTGTCTGCATGTTCCAAATCTATATGGGTTCTTCAACACTGTCCTCTTCCCCTGCTGGCTGTCTTGACCATTATACATCCTTTCTTAATCCTTTTCTTTGCCAATAACTTTTTTCAACAGCCCGGTTAAATTTAAATTATGACTTTTTAGCCTAAATGCAAAATACTTAATCATTGATGAAAAACTTAAAAGGAGCATAAATCATCTCACAACTCATGAGAGTACTGTAATACTTACAGGTATTTTAATGCTGGCAATTTAAACAAATACGGATCTTCAACAGTTGTCAGAGGATTGCGATTCAGAATTCTGAAAAGAGCAAGGAATTAAAAATACCTGCATTTTCAATGTGTGAAACTGCATGAAAAGCTTATATTCATTTTTTGGTATGGAACTTGTAGGTAAAAAAAATCATTTTCTGTTTTCACCCAATAAATCACCATTAGACTCCATAAAGCACTATTCCTCTGGGAACTACCTAGGTCTCTGGAAGACAAAGCAGAGGAGAGAAAGAGGGGAAAAAATAGAAAAAACAAAAAGTGGAAAAACAAAGAAAAAATATGCCACAGAACTTTCAGGTCAAAAACCCCAGAAGTGATTATGCTGGTAGGAAGCCGACTCTGTAGGAAAAGCTGCTTCTAGTGTCCTCCATAATTCAAGTTGCTTGTCTTTTTTTTTTCTTTTTCTTTTTTTTTTTTTTGAGATAGAGTCTTGCTCTGTCACCCCAGCTGGAGAGCAATGGCTGGATCTCAGCCCACTGCAGCCTCTGCCTCCCATGTTCGAGTGATCCTCCTGCCTCCTGCCTCAGCCTCCTGAGTAGCTGGGATTACAGGCATCTGTCACCATGCCCAGCTAATTTTTGTATTTTTAATAGAGTCAGGGTTTCACCATGTGGACCAGGCTGGTTTCGAACTCCTGACCTCAGGTAATCCACACACCTCGGCCTTCCAAAGTGTTAGGATTACAGGTGTGTGCCACTGCACCTGGTCACTTGTCTTATCTTTATAAAGTTAAAATTTATAGTTTAATTTGCTCAGTTAAGAAAAAAAAAAGGACCAATTCTTTTGCTTTATAGCCAAAGAAAAAGGGATAAATCCAAGAGGAGGAACTGGTCAAAACCATACTGCTATCACATACTCCCACTTGTATTCTTGTATCACATCACAGCCTTTGCTACACTGCATGTAATCACCTGTTTACCTGTCAGTCTCCTGGACTATCAGCTCCTTTAGGGAAGATATCACATCTTGTTGTCATTGTGATTCCTGTGCTGGGCATGATGTCTGAAATTTACTAGGCATTTAATAAATGTTTATTGAATAAACAAATGACATTTTGTTTATATGTCAATAAAAAGAATAAATTCATTTTGACACAAATTTGTATTCCAAAATGCTGGAATCTATTTTCTTTTTAATTATTTAAAGTGAATGAAAAAAAGAAAAGAAACAGGAAAAAATAAAAGAAAATCTGCCTTTAGGTTAACCCAAGAATCATCACCATACTTTTGCAGAAATTATAAAAATAATAATTATTACAGCGAGTATCTATTGGGCTGTCAGATATTTGTGATCGGCACTTCACATTTAATCCTCACAATAACCTTATGTGCCCTATTTTATAAATGAGGAAACTGAGGAACAGAGAGCTTACATAATTTGTCCTAGGTCACCAAGCTATTAAGAAGCAAAGCTGTAATTTGAACTCATGTGTGTAATCTGTATGAAGAATAAGAGTTTACTTTAACCTTATGGGTTTTTTAATTCTTTCTTTCTTCATTTCCCATCCGCCCTCCTTCTTTCCCTTTCTTTCTTCCTTCTCTCCCTCCTTTTCTTTCTCTTTCATTCTTTATTTCTTCCATCTCTCCCTCCCTTTTTCTTTCATTCTTTCTTTTCATTCCCCTCCCTCCTTCTTTCACTTTCTTCCTTCCCTCCTTCCCACCCCTTCTTTTTTTATTTCTTCTTTTTCTTGTTCCTTCTTTCCTTCTTTCCTTCATTTCCCTTCCTCCTTTCCCTTTCTTCCTTTCCTCTTTTCCTCCCTCCCTTCTTTCTTCCCTCTCTCCCCTCTTTTTTCTCTTTCTTTTCCTCATTTCCCTCCCTCCTTCTTTCCCTTTCTTCCTTCCCTCCTTCCTTCCCTTTTTCTTTCTTTCCTTCCTTTCTTTTTTCATTTCCCTCCCTCCTTCCTTCTTTCCATTCTTCTTTCCCTCCTTCTCTCCCCTCCCTTCCTCTCTCCCTCCCTCCTCCCCTTTCCTTCCTTCCTCCCCCTTCCTCCTTTTCTTTCCTTTCTTTCTTCCTTTCTTCTTTCTTTCTTTCCTTCCTTCCTTCTCTCCCTCCCTCTTTCTTTTTCCTTTCCATTCCCTCCTTCCCTTCCTTCTTTCCTTCCCTCCCCCTTTCTTCTCTTTCTCTTTTCTCTCTTTCCTTTCTTTCTTTTCTCTCCCCATCCTTCCTCCCTTCCCTTCCCTCCCCACCCTCCTTTCCCTTCCTCCCTCCCTCCCCTCAATGTCCCTCTCCCATTCCCCTCTCCCTCTCCTCTTTCCAACAGGGTCTTGCTCTGCTGCCCAGGCTGGAGTGGTGTGGTCTTGGCTCACTATAACCTCTACCTCCCAAGCTCAGGTAATCCTCCTTCCTCTGTCTCCCAAGTAGCTGGGACTGTGGGTACATATCACCACACCTCGCTAATTTTTGTATTTTTAGTAGAGATGGGAGTTTCATCATGTTGGCCAGGCTGGTCTTGAACTCCTGATATCAGGTGATCTGCCTGCCTTGGCCTCCTAAAGCGCTGGTGTGAGCCACTGGGCCCAGCCTTAATTTTGAGAAGACTAAATACAGAAATGCCTTTAAATCTTCATCTACTCTGGGAAGGCCTCTGTGAGAATTAGTTTCTCACTAGCAGGGTGTGGTGGCGTGTGCCTGTAGTCACAGCTATTCAGGAGGCTGAGGCAGGAGAATTGCTTGAATCCCAGAGGTAGAGGTTGCAGTGAGCCGAGACTGATCCACTGTACTCCAGCCTGGGCGACAGAGCAAAAAAAAAAAAAAGAGAAAGAATTATAGTTTCTCTTTTTATTTATTTTCCCTAATCATTTCCCATGATTAAATATTTAATTAGTCTACGGTCATTGAGACTTTTTTTTTTTTAAGAAACACGTTCTCACTCACTATGTTGCCCAGGCTGTCGAACAGCGGCTATTCACAAGCCTGATCCCACTACTGATCAGCATGGGAGTTCTGACCTGCTCCATTTCTGAACTGGACTGTGACATCCCTTCTTTTTTTTTTTTTTTTTTTTTTTTTTTTTGAGACGGAGTTTCACTCTTGTTACCCAGGCTGGAGTGCAATGGCATGATCTCGGCTCACCGCAACCTCCGCCTCCTGGGCTCAGGCAATTCTCCTGCCTCAGCCTCCTGAGTAGCTTGGATTACAGGCACGCGCCACCACGCTCAGCTAGTTTTTTTTTTTTTTTTTGTATTTTTAGTAGAGACGGGGTTTCACCATGTTGACCAGGATGGTCTCGATCTTTCGACCTCGTGATCCACCCGCCTCGGCCTCCCAAAGTGCTGGGATTACAGGCTTGAGCCACCGCGCCCGGTCGCGACATCCCTTCTTAGGCAACTTGGCGGTCTCCTGTTTCCAGGAGGTCACCATACTGATGCTGAACTTAGTGCGGACACCCAATCAGCATAGCACACTACAGCCCAGAATTCCTGGACTCAAGGGATCCTTCTTCCTTTGCCTCTCAAGTATCTGGGACTACAGACATGTGGCCGATGAGACTTTAGAAATTAAAAACTGTGTTGTAGGTGACATCAGTGAAAATGGTGGAATAAAGACACTCGAAAATTCATCCCTTCATGAAAGCAACAAAAACCAAAAAAATGGCCATAAAGGAGCAATGCCAAGAAGAAGAGGCGAGAACGACCCCCGGATAGGCCAAAGCCCATGCGCCGCTGCATCCCGCGCCCAGCGCCTACGTCCCGCCGCTGTCGCCACCATGCCCAAGAGACAGTCTGAAGGGGATGCTAAAGGAGATAAAGCCAAGGTGAAGGACGAACCACAGAGAAGATCCGCGAGGTTGTCTGCTAAACCTGCTCTTCCAAAGCCAGAGCCCAAGCCTAAAAAGGCCCCTGCAAACAAGGGAAAGAAGGTACCCAAAGGGAAAAAGGGAAAAGCTGATGCTGGCAAGGAAGAGAATAACCTTGCAGAAAATGGAGATGCCAAAACAGACCAGGCACAGAAAGCCAAAGGTGCTGGAGATGCCAAGTGAAGTGTGGGCATTTTTGATAACTGTGTACTTCTGGTGACTGTACAATTTGAAACTCTATTTTTTATCAAGTTTTATAAAAATGCAGAATTTTGTTTAACTTTTTTTTTTTTTTAAAGCTCTGTTGTTAGCACACAGAACACTTCATTGTTGTTTTGGGGGAAGGGGCATATGTCATTAATAGAATGTCTCCAAAGCTGGATTGATGTGGGGAAAACACCTTTCCCTCCTAGTTTTGAGAGACTTCCTCTTGGCTCCCAGGAGGAGGGATTCCCTGACTTTGACACGCATGGACCCCTTGGCACACAAAAGCCTTGTGGCATAGAAAGATAAATTCATTTTTATGTCCTCTTCTCCCTTTCCGTCTTTCAGCACAGACTTAACTCCCTTAAGCCCAGACATCTGTTGGGACCTGACCCCCAGCCATTGGTTACCAGTGTGTCAGGCAATCTGGACTTGCCAGTGATGCCACTGAGGTGGCACCTGTCAAAAGAGCAGTGGTTCCATTTCTAGATTGTGGATCTTCAGATAAATTCTGCCACTTTCATTTCACTTCCTGAAAGGCAGGGTCTGCTTGTGAAAAGTTGTTAAACAACATGCTAAATGTGAAATGTCAATCCTCACTCTAAACTTTCCCTGTTCGGAGCATCAGATGAAGACTTCATTGGGTTTTATAGTGGCTTTCTGATTTTTGGTGGTCCATCAAAGAAGGGAGTTTGAAAATTATTGTATACTGTTAATGATTGTCTTCCCATGTCCTGCCTGAAATAACATGATTGTTTATGGAAAATATCTTTAATAAAGCTGGATACAGTTTGGCTTGGAGAAAAAAATGGCCAAAAAAATGGACCAGAATGAACTTTCTCAGAACTCTAGAAATGTAATCAAAGTCTTACAGCAACTCAAGGAGCATTTATTCAAGAATAATTTCTGTAAGAACAGCAAGATTTGTGTTAACTTGCCTTAGACAATTCCTCACTCTCTAGATCAGTAGTTGCCTTGAAAAGTAGCCCACATCCCCAACCAGGGCAAGCAGAATGGAGCTGGAGCTC